CATTTATAAGTTTGCTGATTATGAATTATTGTTCATCTTTGCTAACTGTCATGCTTCATATATCTTGTTTCTTCTCGTTTTACTTTCTTTGCACAAAGTTTATGAAACGCTTTTACAAAACTGTTTACGAAATGACAGTTAATATAAATTGCTGACGTTCTCATTGAAATACAAAATTTCTGTCTTAGCCAATCAGAACGTTCGTTGATTACCAGACGTTACTCGCGCATGCGCATAACTTACAAAACCACCCAACGTCGACCGTCCATGACAAAGAATTTGGACAACTTCGGATTCGCCTATGTTCTACCGGGTTTCGGGTGTAATTCCTAATCTCCGAGCGGAATTAGTACCCTCGCAGGCGCTCCGCGCCCGCTCGGGGATTAATTTACTTGTTCCTTGTTTCTCAATTTTAGATCAAATAAATTATGGCAACCCAGGAATCGCTAACAATTATTACCTTTCTCTTATCACTGACTACACCTCCATCCATCGCTGTGCCATACATGGATTTGATGGACTGACATACCAAGCAAGGTAAATATTGCAGGCTACATGGTATATGTTCAGTTTATTATTATGTCATATTAAGACTGTTGGACATTATATTTTTATTCAGTAATTCCCCTATATGGGAATGTGATAAAATTCGAAGTTAACGCCCAGTAAAGATTTCACAAAATCAATTGAAATAACGCTGTACCTCGACTGGTTTCAATTCTGGAGGCCCCATATATGGCACAATTATCTGCATTATCGTTTCATTTTTGTTGATGATTGTTTCGATGGTGTTTTGGTGCCGGAAGATAGAATAATTGATACTAATTATCGCCCCCCGTACTGAAGACACATAACATCCCAGATAATAGCAACAAGTGTTGGGAATGCGGATAAGTCGACAGGACATGGTCGCTTAAATGAGGCAGCTTCTTGATCTGCACGGAAAAATTACCAGGACCAATGCATTTAAATTGACTTCGGCAAGAAAGATGTTGTCGGAGCGATTTCACTCAAAGTCGCCGTAATTATAATTAGTGGGTGAAGACCTACTCTGTATCCTATAGTTCCGACGGGCAAAAATTCGCTCATTACAAAATAAATGGATTAGTCAGGGTTAGCTGGATTAATAAGCAAGGCTCCTACAGATTACCCTCTCACGTTATATGCATCACATCATTTCCATGCGGTCATATATAACTTTTAATGTGTGACTAAGATTAATTGTTTAACAAATTACTCATTTCATTAGAGACTCACTAGTGGAAAATGTCCTATCACCAACTGTAACCGCGCTTTACACCCGCATTCATCCAAAGACATGGTACGCAACATATCTTTGAGAATTGAAGTTTATAGCTGTTCTTCAGGTATGTTCTAGCAATTCACGGGGAATCCAGCATATCATTATGAGGAACAAAGCTATCATAGCGGTATATACTCAGGGCTATCACAATCAAGTTTAGTGTTATCGCTTGATTTTAATGTTTGCTGCACGGTCGGATTCCCACATTTAAAAGAAAATCAAGCGAAAAGTTTTACACGTACAAAAGTATATGGAACTGTTCTTTAATTTATCGGAAGAACTAGCGCGTTTTTAACCCACCACATGTGTCAATGAGGATGCATATTCGTTCGATGTGATCGCCTGATAGGAGAGATACGTTACTGAGTTTGATTGCTATCGAGGGATAGGGGGGGGCTTTATTAAGAAGAACTGTTAAAAAGCTAGAGCAGTATAAGGATTATCACTAACCTATTTTCAGTTGATCAGGTAACCATTCATACAGGACTTCAAACTAAAGGTGATTCCAAAAAACAACGTAGTTTCCACTCAGATCTTTTTCCATTGCAAATGCGCGCATCTCAGATTCGAGAGCCCCAGAAGTTCCTCTCACGTCTGTCACATTGAAAAAAAAATAAATTGTTTCAAACTCATTTACGAGAACAGTTTAGAGAAAGAGGTCAGGACTATTGAATTTGTCTTGTTATACTCATAGCGACAGGAAATCCTCCATTACCTTTTCATTTCCTATATTTTCAACGGAAACTAACCTTAGCTTTGAGACTCACCTTGTAATTCCAAATCAGGCTTACGCTTCAATCTTGACTGAATCTGTAAAAAAGATCCGTTTAAATACCATTGCTTTTTCATCTTTCAAACGACTAGAACATTTTCCCATTTTCTTAATATGAACACTTACTTGTAATAAAACAACTGGATTTAAATTCTTACATCTTTCCTGGATTTGAATCCTATTTTTGTCCTGCAATGCGAGAGATATCCTTCAAGTTGATTCCTTGACGTTCCTCTCGCTTTTCCAGAGCTCTAACAGACAAGTATAGCACGTGAAATAACAGGCTTATACGTACATACAAGCATGCATTATGAAATTTTGGAACACGATTTGTTGCCTTAAAACGTACTCTGCAAGCTTTACAGTGTCACGAATTGATAAATGATCTTCTTTAGTCTCTGGTGGCTGAAGGAAAGATAAAAACTTTCCAACAAAATTGTTTCTTTACAAAAAGGTTTTACACTTCTGAATGAATTACCTTTTAATTATTTCGTCAGTGGGACAGTTTAAGGATGAATGATGGAGTTTAGTTACCAAAGCAGTTGATACCACTTAGTCACTATTACATAATTGTTTATGAACCAAAACTTACGAACAGGAAATCTCGCATTTAAACTTTATTGTATATTTTAGACATTAAAAACCATAACTACTTTAATACGAACATTATTCTCACAAGTAATGCCATTGCTGTTGGATGACCAGTTGTCCAGAGAGCCACAAGATGTCCACTCAATTGCCTATATGCCAACAATAAAGATTATAAATTACTTATGGAGTATGCTTGTTAGTCTCAATTGAACTATTTACAGATGGCTAGTATATAGAGGATTATAAAATCACAAGTTTTAAGATGAATCTAAGAATGTTGCTAAACTACAACTCAGGTGCTCCGGATGGAATCGAAGCTATACATCTGCAACAATTTGTTAATATATCACACTAATTCGGGTTTTAAACGGTCTTAATTTCGCGTGGTATTATTATACACACTTCAAATTCAAGCCAGGAACAGTTGATGGAAAAATGAGTCAACTATACGTTCTCAGTGACAAGAGCATTGCGCCGGCATCGCAAAAGCGATTCCTACCGGAGGATCTATAGTTGACTCATTTTTCCATCAACTGTTCCTGGCTTGAATTTGAAGTGTGTATAATACCTCTCGAAATTAAGACCCTTTAAAACCTCTTAAATATCAACTGAAATAATATGTACATTCATCACTGCTAAAAAAATGCAGAACGTTATAAATGACGTTTGTCAAAAGCAGAAAATTCTCAATGGAGGAATGAATGAATAAAACGTACCTCGATTATCGCCTTCAGAACCATGCCAGCACCTTTCACAATTGTTGTCGACGGATGCTGAAATTGTTGAGGAACGAATTCAAAACCACGATTGGTAAGAACCATTAGCGGGGCAATAGTAAAACATACATAAGCGAAGAAATGGTACAATTGGTACTATTTATTGCAGTTTTATCGTAAACTTACCTGAAACAATCGATAAATGCAATGACCCATTTCAAGACAAACAAATAACAGACTTCATGAGTTGCTCCCATGCATGGGTCAAGCTAGTGGACGTGGTAAACTTCACCAAAAATGTAAAGAGAGAAAGGCAATTTAATCAACTTTCAACGTCAGTCAAAGAGCCATAAACTACCAAGAAGGCAAGTTGAATGAAAACTCCTCAAATTTCTTTGTAGCATACCTGCAACTTTCTCCAGTAATTTCCCAAACTGTTCATCGTCTGTTGTCTCACTAAGAGGAGTATGCAATAGTCGATTTATTATAACAGACCACATCAGTTGATTCAAAATATTAGAAGCAATCACACCTTACTATTAGTTTAACATGAATGTCCAACTGCACCCCCCATTATTTTGATATATTGCAAAGCAACCAGAACTTTACCTGTAAAGAGGACACAGAGCAAACGCCAGAAAATCAAGCAATCAACTTATACCTAAAACCCCAGTAGAACGATTCTAGAAGAAAAGTTTTCATGGTTAATCTATTTCTTGTGTTAATTAGAAAGGTAGTCCAAATTAGAAAGGCAGTTGCTACAAATCACTTGCTGAGTTTTGCAAGGGAATTTCTCTTCCAAAACAAGGCTGTATACATACAAGAGGGATGGAAAAATAAAATGCATGGGTTCAGCATAGATTATAGGCCAACACCGCACATCTTACCACATTTATCGTGAGAATTCCCAACAAACTGCTTAGAAATTTTTCACAGGATAACAGAGAGCTTTTGTTTATCTGTTCTTCTCGAATGTCATAGTTATCGTGCGTTGGCTATATAAAACAACAGAATTGGTTTCGATAAAACTGGATCCTGTTAACATGCAAATTTCAAAGTTGGCTGAGTTTACGTATTTCGTTTCTTGCATCTATTTAGCTCGGAAATTTCGCCGCTGTATTCTTAACGAAATACTCTATTTTAAATTTAAATATGTCCGGTCTGACCATTTTGGCCGCTTAAAGGAAAGCCCTGTCTTTACCTGCATCAGAGAACACAACATGTCGACAGCGGCGTGAGTCACGGCTTCATTATTCCTCTTCAAAGCTTTCACAGTTTTCACACCAACCTTCTCACGCAAGTGAACTGGTTGAGTAAACAGCGTGTGTTGTGGTTAAAGATAAACGTTTCTCACCTAGTGAGCGTTGTGAAAGCGCGAAACCTGCTTTGGATCGAACCCAACTTCTCAAATCGTGAAACAGTGCTTCGAGATCTTTATCTCATATTTTGTTTTGGTCTCCTGCAAATAGACGAAACTTTTTACCTATTTTATGTATATATAGGACACCTGCGAAGGTAATAGCACTCAGAATATGTATATTTTAGGGTTGAACACTAAATAAATTTATTGGCAAAGATATACAATACCTTCGTGAGCAATGAGCATTGTGATGGCATTAATGATAAGTCTTTCTTTATTCTCCGACAAAAGTCCCTACAAAATATTTAAAATCGTTTGAAATATATATTGGAGTTTAAAAGACTTAATATTCCGGCCGTACTTCTGCCGGGAAAATTTCAAAACTACCATTTCATGGATTCGGACCCAGTCAACTCAGCAACCAGAGTTACGCAGCCTAGTACCTAGGCTTCATAACGTTCCTTATACGCGGCGAGGCGGGAACTGAGAGGCCTAGAACAAAATGTTTTGTATTTTGGCTAAAGTGGGGACTTTTTGTCCCCACTTTCTGTATTGAGGTCAGTTTACGATCTACGACGCGGTTAACTGGCCTTGTTCGACGTCGTTAGTCAAACATTTGCTTGAAATAAGCTACGGGATATTGATTATACTGCCAGGAGTCGAAATATTCATACAAACGTTTCAATGTCGCCGTCAACGCTATCGACTATCAAGTAAACTCGAGTCCGTACGTACATGTTTATGATTATAATAAACTTCAATCCACCAATTTAAATTATTCTCGCTTCCTTTATAACGGTTACTGTTGTAAATTGCAAACATTTACTTTAATAACAATTCTAATTTCAAGTTCACAACATTAAACGGGCCGTTAAGATTAGAAAATATTTTGTGTTAGGCCTCTCGCGCGCGTTTCATTCGGTGACGTGACGAAAATATAAAACACGCGCAATGAGAGGCCTGGGACTAGGCTGGAGTTACGGCGGTTTTTAGGGAGTACTATTAGTGTTTTGTGTACATTTGTGCACAGAACAGTAGCAGGATAGGGTATTTTTATTAAAGTCATACTTTTTGCCTTTGGCTATACTGGATAAACCAGTTTAAATGTACCGTGTTGTTTGCAGACGTTTTAAACCTTGCTAAATGTTTTCAATTAGCAGCCGAAATGGGCAAATGTTTTCATTTAACGTAACTATGCAGCCTAGCAATCGTTTAGTTCACACTAAAGGCTGCTTTCTACTTACGCGTTTTTTATACGCATGTACACATACGGAGAATTTTAAATGCTTTTAAATTTTTATTAATTAACATGCATCTAGGTCGATTTATTCACTTAGTTTTTTCAAAGGTAACATGTATAAGGATTTAGATTTTTACGTGCGTGTACGTGCGTATGAAAAACACGTGAGTGGAAAACAGCCTTAATCCAAATTTTGACAGAACATTAAAACTCAATAAAAAGGCAATAATATTCTCTACACAGGATTTTGTCTGCAGAAAAGTACAAGATAAGAAGTTGTCAACTTACGTTTTGGGTGACTGCATGAAGTAGACCACAGTAGGAAATATTGCAGTAAAATCTGTACACAGCTTCGGTTAAATTTCCTGCAAGGAACCAGTCATAAGACAATATAAGCTTTTGGAGATATTTCAAAAATGTAAAGTGAAATAAAAAGAGAAATATTTCACCTGGAGACGCAGCGAGGAATTTAAATGACTGCTTTCTACTTCTTCGTCAACAACATTATACAATGGACCCCAACGATAACCTTGAAAAATATATCATCTTAAAAAAACAATTCTTCTTTTGCTGTATGTGATGTATTGAACTGGCTAATAGGAATAATGCTATTTGCTGATACCTGACGAGAAGTGTAATTGTTGGTGTGTTATATGAGATCACATACGTCAGCAGGAGTATGAAATGAGGGATCGTATTTAGGGTAATCATAGCAGTACGAGATTTTCATCAGGAAAATTTTGACCATAATTTTCGCTCAATCATCTATGAATAAGCGTACAGTACTTCTCTTCGTTGGGGTCGTTTTTACGCAAACATCTCTGTTTCAACTGGCTCTAACACCGTCTAGCAAACCAGCCAATAATGTTTCCCTAGATTGAGTGAAAGACAAACATTCAAAACAAGAAATATTTTTTATTGCTTCATACAAAATTTGCTTTCTTACACTACCTGTCAGGAGACGAGTAATTTCTCAGCCGACCGCTTGTGTATTCCAGCCCGAACAGCTGAGGATGGTTTCGATAGCGAATTATTGAAAATATCTGACAGAAAAAGAAGTTTGAAAACTATGATATACTATACGCTATATACGGTATATTCTGGAAAGTAACTGCAAAAATAAAACTATTTTAACTCGGCTGGATACTTTTTTTGCAATTGAACATGTTCAAAATGGAAACGTGAAATAAGAAAGACGATAAAAGCAGTAAACTTGAATCCAGATCAGAAGACATGGAGTGTTTGGAGTGTTTGGAGTGTTTTCTTTCAAGGTCAGATATGAACAATTACTGGAACTGACATGGAATGTCGCATGACTTAATGAGCTAAGGGGATGAAGGGTGACGATATTGTACGTTTCTAAGAAACACAGCGTTCTTTGAACAGGATCCTAAATTTGAGAGTGTCAAAACGATTTTAAAATGAGAAAAAGGATAGACTCTTAGAAGAATTTTATTAACAACATAACTCACTTTACTCCGAGGAGTTTCTTTATAGACGCTGAATTCTGACATTGATGTGATATGGTCGTCATCACTGAAACGAAAAATTTGTCATTTACTGTCATATCTCACATTCTTTACACAGGACAAACGAAATACTGTCTTAATAATATATCATTCAACTGTATTTATAAATTTGTTTTAAAAAACGACTCCACTTTGATGGAACTTTTCTTTTGCTAAAAACCGAGGCAAAAGAAATAACAAATACAGCTCAAAGTAAATTACAGACCTGGAAAGAATTTTGTCAAAAACGGTTAAAACGTAAACAAATAAAGTAACCTGAATATAAGTCATTTTGTCATTTACTTAAAATTTGTTTACTTAAAATGTTCACATACTTTATCGTAACACCAACATTATTTAAAGAAGATTCCATCAACTTTTTCAGCAATTCCTGTCTCCTCTCTGATGTGAAAAGATGCTGGAAAACAAAAGCAAAATTGTGCACAAAATGTAAAACTTCAATTTACAGAAATAACCGGTATCTTATCCTTTTTTTATTATAAGGTTGGTACTAGCAACATCTGGTACATACCACTGTGCTAAAACCACCACAGACAACAACAAATCCCCTAGGATAATCTGAGACCTAAGTATAGAAATGGAATGAAAGCCTGAGTTGAATTATTCAAATCACAAATATTCAAATGTCTTGCAATATCAAGTATATATATATATATATATATATATATATATATATATATATATATATATATATATATATATATATATATATATATATGAACACACAGGTAAGTTATCAAGAAACTTGAAAACAATAATAGTACCTCTAACGTCACTGGAACCTTTCGTTCACTCCAATGTAATTTATAACCACTAATCTTCTGCACAAAAATATGGCATATGTTGATGTGGAAATAGTTTGGAAACATTAGCTTTAGCTAGCTTATCACTTTATAAAGAACCCACTTATTAAATTAGAAATGGAATATGGGTCTAATTTTTGAAAGAGAGAGGGGGGGCGGCATTGATACCATGATGAATCACAGGTAGCCCGCTATTGGATTTGTTTTAGTTAAATATTAAATACATTCTATGCAAAACGACATGAAGTGTCCTTTCCTTCACTCACTGCTGACATATTATCGCAGGCGCCAATTCGTGCGGTGCAGTGTAACCTTTATGTATATATTAATATAAGGTTGGCAACTCTTTGTCGTATTTTCACTTTTACGAATTACATACACAAACTTACACATCAAAATACTCGTACTTAAACACAAAAATATACACAAAAAACAAAATTTATGTAAGAACTGACTCTCCTAAAACATTTCCGAAACATTTGTTTGTCTTTAAAGCCATTGCAAATATGTGAAATTTACGAAAATACAAACACTTTTTGGTTGAATTTTTTGAAAAGCCGTCGGGATCCCATCACCCTGCCCTACGTCACAGCAAACACGCAATATGATTGGCTTAGTTTTGAATTTTGAAATTTGTTTACGTTAACGGACTCAACCAGCCAATCATATTGCGTGTTTGCTGTGACGTAGGGCAGGGTGATGGGATCCCGACGGCTTTTCAAAAAATTCAACCAAAAAGTGTTTGTATTTTCGTAAATTTCACATATTTGCAATGGCTTTAAAGACAAACAAATGTTTCGGAAATGTTTTAAGAGAGTCAGTTCTTACATAGATTTTGTTTTTTGTGTATATTTTTGTGTTTAAGTACGAGTATTTTCATGTATAAGTTTGTGTATGTAATTCGTAAAAGTGAAAATACGACAAAGAGTTGCCAACCTTATATTAATATATACATAAAGGTTACACTGCACCGCACGAATTGGCGCCTGCGATAATATGTCAGCAGTGAATGAAGGAAGGGACACTTCATGTCGTTTTGCATAGAATGTATTTAATATTTAAGTAAAACAAATCCAATAGCGGGCTACCTGTGGATGAATTACGATTTGGAATTCATCGTGAATAGTTTCATTTTATACAACTGGAACGATAAGTCCTGACAAAAATCCCTATTAAGCTTGAAGCAAAAATAGTTCCCCGTACTAATCCTAATGCAGCCTCTTTGATGTCTTTCTACGCTGTTTCATCCTGAGGCTGCAGCAACAAAGACAATTTACAGTGATTAGATGTAATTATATGTCTCTAGATGTTCCTATAAATACCTTGCAGTCTCTATATAATTACCTTACATGTTCTTTACACGACGGCTTGACGTATCGCTTGAGAGGATCTACTGGACAGTGGCAATCTGGAATTGATAAATGAAATATATATCCTTTTACTTCACTGATGCGTTTGCATTCACGACTCCCGTGTAAAACGATCCAATTTGCGGATATATAGTTGGGTTCAGGTCAGGAAGCTTTCACTGATAAGAGAGAGTTTTCTATTGAAGTACAGTATCAGCCCATCACGAATGAAGAGGCAAATTGGAGTGGAGAAATGAAACCGTCTGAAAAGGATTGTATGAGTACCTTCTCGATTATATGCAAAACATCGCAAACTTTCGGTGAATCAGAGGATGCAATAACGTCGACCAGAAGCTGGACAGCTCGGATCTGCACAAAAATATCCCGATCTTTCGCAATGTGGTCTAAATGTGGCAACACTGAATTCTCAAGTATTTCTGCCTGTAAAAAACAAGGAGTTACAAAACTAGAAAAAGATTCAAATATCGCTAATGTACGGTGGCCCAGAGGTGCAAAACACAAACGCAAATTCAAAACACAAACGCAAATTCAAAAACACAAACGCAAATTCAAAAACATAAACGCAAATTCAAAAACATAAACGCAAATCATGAAAGCACGAACGCAAATTTAAAACAGAAACGCAAATTCAAAACACGAACGCAAATTCAAAACACGAACGCAAATTCAAAACACAAACGCAAATTCAAAACACAAACGCAAATTCAAAAACATAAACGCAAATTCAAAAAAAAAACGCAAATCATGAAAGCACGAACGCAAATTCAAAACAGAAACGCAAATTCAAAACACGAACGCAAATTCAAAACACGAACGCAAATTCAAAACACAAACGCAAATTCAAAACACAAACGCAAATTCAAAAGACAAACGCAAATATTTAATTATTTATCCAAATCCAAAACGAGCTAGCGCACCACAAATTTAAAGTCAACAAGGATAAGTCTATTAATATGATTGTTGCAAAGTATAATACATTTATAAATGCATTTTTGTCTTTTAACCTAGTAAAATATAAAATTATTGATATGGAGGAAGCGATCCGTTTTTACTACGGAAGAAATTTTAAGTACAAAACGATACTGGAATGTTTAGAAAAATATCATGATATCAAAATATGTAAAAGAGCGCTCATCACCAGATTACAGGAGTATGGTTTGGGAAGAAGAAGATACAACGCGAATGAAGAACAAGTTAGGGAATGCGTTCAAAGAGAACTACATGAAAATGGCAACCTCTTAGGATACAGATCAATGTGGAGGAAACTGCAATCAAAACATGGCATGCGTGTGCGCCGTTCAACAGCTCAAAGTATCTTAAAGGTGCTTGATCCTGAAGGTTGTGCAGTAAGAAAAGCTCATAAGCTGCAGCGGAGGGAGTATTTAAATCCTGGTCCAAACTTTACCTGGCATGCCGATGGGTACGATAAACTCAAACAGTTTGGGTTTCCCATTCACGGCTGCATTGATGGGTTTAGCAGGCGATTATGTGGTTAGAGATCGTTCGAACAAATAACGACCCTCGGGTCATTGGAGGATTATTTCTTAATTGTGTTAAATCCCAAAACGGTTGCCCAACAATTCTACGAACGGACAAAAGGACTGAAAATGGTATAATGGCCACTGCTCAGTGCTACTTACGTCGAAACCACAGAGATCACTATAATAGGATAAAAGCACATCGCTATGAATCGTCACACAGCAACCAGCGTATAGAGGCGTGGTGGGCCATGCTACGTCGGTCGTGGGCATCGTGGTGGATTAATTTTTTTAAAGATTTGGTAGACAGAGGTATTGTTAACACAAGCAATATACTTCAGCTGGAATGTCTTTGGTTTTATTTCATTAAAATGATGAGGGATTCCCTAAAGGCTATTAAGGAGTCCTGGAATGCCCATTATGTGAGAAAATCCAGATACCACACTACTCATGGCATTTCTGATCAACTTTTTTTCTTGCCCGAGTCAGTTGGCGCGGTTGATCATAAGGTGGAGTGCCTGCAACATGATATCCAAGCGATCGAAGGCAGCGTTGCCGTGGAAGATGACGAAATACACAAAGTAATATTTTAATTATTTTTCAATATTACAACTGCAGGAGCCAACAACATGGAAAGATTCTCTCAATAATTATGAACTGCTGATTGCAGCAGCCCAAGTGTGAACCAAGAAAAAACAACGAAAAAATCTAACAAACTAAGTGAATTCATATTCCAACGTAGTATAAAACAAGTAGGGACCTTAAGCAACGAGAACACGAAAGAAAAACCACTTCAAAAACTTAGGCATATAAAACATAGGCATATAAAAAACGCGTAACTGGAAAGCAGCTCTTAAGCTGACCTTTATCCTTACTGGTAAATGGGAGTACGAAAGTACAGTTAACGTCCAGGACGTCAACGTTATCGTTGCTTAAGTTGCCTAATATAAGCCATAGAATTATATAGGAAACACTTTTTTACAATAGGAGGAGTGATTGTATAGTGTCGCGGAGGTGTTTGCCAAGTAGGTATTATAAAAATATTCCTATAGGTCATATGGAACAACCAACCTTTCTGTAGATTCAACTGCCCAAGCATCGAACTAAGCTCCTAAGGATTATTAGCGGGTCGAAACGTGTTCATCAAACGTGACTGCTTTCGATGTTGAGACATCTTATCCGACAGGACCAGGATTAGACGAAACATCCACACACATTGTTAGATCCTGCTTAAAAGGCTTCGCACATAGGACTAGACTAACAAATCAATGTTTCCTTTCTTTAGCAATCGCAAATGAGACTTTGTATTTAGATTCAAAACCAACTCGTTGTATGTTGACCCGACATCGAAAAGCAATATCTCTACAAATACTCAAGGTTATGCCATCCGCAGCCATTCCGTCCAAATCCATGCAATTAGCATTCTTAAATGCCGTATTAATTGGTCGAGATGTACGAAACTCGTTAGATAAAATAAATATCTTAAAAAATATAAAAAATATATAGAGCTACCGACCAACCGCCATATTGATCGTGAATTAAGCAGTATGGAAACACAATATTCATTTCCATACACGAAAAGGTGGTGATTCAATGATAACATCACGTTATCAGCTTTAGATATTTTCTTTAAAAACTTGTTTAACGAATCGGATAGAAGCAAACGGGAACGAGAAGAAGAAGTTGTGAAATCATTGTAAGTGTGTTTATTTCTATTTAAACCCGACAACTTTACTTGTTCAGGGAAAGGCATGTTAGAGTTGTTTACTAGTAAAAACTATGTACACACCTTGGGTTGTGGTGGACAAAATATTGAATCATTGGTTATTTTTATTGTAGATCACTAGCTGCCTGTGAAGGAACACACAAAATTTTATTAGAATGCTTCAAAAACAGCTGGATTGAAGGTTTTCAAACTTAAATGATCTCTCCAGTGGCAAATCGATTGTTCGAATCTTACCATAACCGTATTTCATTATAAATTCGTGAAAATGATAAAGTAAATTAAATGAACATGGCCGTTCAGCACAATAACTTGTACTCAATTGGCGAAGACAATGGTCCCAAAGTGGTAAATCGATGGTTCGAATCCTACCATAACCGTTTTTCATTATAAATTTCGTGAAAAGAAATACAGTAAACTAAGTAACCATGGCCATTCCCCAAAAGATCTTGCAGTCTAATGGCTACGACAACTGTCTCTTAAGTGGTAAATCGATGTTTCGAATCTTGCCAAAACTTTTTTTATTATGAACTTCGTGAAAGGATAAAGTAAATTAAATAACCATGGTCAGCCAGCACAAGACCTTGTCCTTTAGTGGTGAAGACGATGGTCTCCTAGATGTTAAATCGATTGTTCGAATCCTACCATAACCTTTTTCATTATGAACTTCGTGAAAAGGATAAAGTAAATTAAATAACCATAACCGTTAAGCACAAGTCCTTGTGGTTCTTTGGCGAAGACGGTGGTCTCCAAGTGTTAAATCGATGGTTCAATCCTACCATGACCGTTTTCATTATGAACTTCGTGAAAAGGATAAATAAATTAAATAACCATAACCGTTCAGCACAAGTTCTTGCAGTCTTGTGGTGAAGACAATCATCTCCTAAGTAGTAAATCGATGGTTCGAATCCTGCCATGACCTTTTCATTATGAACTTCGTGAAAAGAATAAAGTAGACTAAATAACCATGGCCGTTCAGCACAAGACCTTGCAGACTAGTGGCAAAGACAATTGTGTCCCAAGTGGTAAATCGATGGTTCGAATCCTGCTATGACCTTTTTCTTTATGAACTTCCTGAAAAGAATAAAGTAAATTAAGTAACTATAATTGTTCAGCACAAGAACTTGCAGTCTATTGCCGAGGACGATGGTGTACCAAGTGGTAAATTGATGGTTCGAATCCTACCATAACCGTTTTTCATAATGAACTTCGTGAAAAGGATAAAGTAAATTAAATAACCAAGACCATCCAGCACAAGACCTTGTGCTCTAGTGGCGAAGACGATGGTCTCCCAAGTGTTAAATCGATGGTTCGAATCCTAGCATAATCGTTTTTCATTATGAACTTCGTGAAAAGGATAAATAAATTAAATAACCATAACCGTTAAACGCAAGATCTTGCAGTCTAGTGCCGAAGGCAATCGTCTCCCAAGTAGTAAATCGTGGTTCGAATCCTGCCATGACCTTTTTTATTATGAACTTCGTGAAAATAATAAAGTAAATTAAATAACCATCGCCTCTCAGCGCAAGACCTTGCAGTCTAATGGCTAAGACAACTGTCTCTTAAGTGGTAAATCGATGTTTCGAATCTTGCCAAAACTTTTTTATTATGAACTTCGTGAAAGGATAAAGTAAACTAAATAACCATGGTCATCCAGTACAAGAATAAATGGTTCGAATCCTACCGTAACCGTTTTTCTTGATGAACTTCGTGAAAAGGATAAATAAATTAAATAACCATAACCGTTCAGCACAAGATCTTGCAGTCTAGTGGCGAAGACAATCGTCTCCCAAGTAGTAAATCGATGGTTCGATTTACTACTTGGGAAAGCGTTACGCATAACGCTTTTATGGAGATCAGACGTGTGATCTTGGGCTCCGTTAATCCAAGTGATTCATGTCCTAGGCCAAGCCAGAAATTGGCTAATTCATTACTATATTTCGCTAAAGACGATTCGCTAAACATTGGGAAGGACAAATGCATCAGAAAGGCAACTGAATCTATTTTCAAATCACTTGGTCTGGCCTGGTCGGGCGACTTTGATTCATTAAAGTGTTTTGTGGCTGAATGGCTGAAGATAAATGGCTCCTGGTCTCAACC